TGTGTGTGTGTGTGTGTGTGTGTGTGTGTGTGTGTGTGTGTGTGTGTCTAGGAAGGGAGGTGATGTGAGTGAGCTAGTCCCGACCATGGGCAAAAGCAACTGGGTCAAGATGCTTTTACTCGTTTACTTCCAAGCAGTAAATACGCAGGGTGTCGGTGAGATAAGAATGCAGGTGGGTAGATAAGGGAAGTGGTCTTGGCTGCCTGCGTGGAGCAGGGTGTCTGCCAAGTCAGAAGAGCACAGAGTTGTGGCCTAGCTGCCTTTTATTCCCCCAGCCAAGTCAGCACCTAGAAATGCCCTCCACTACCATGTCTTATGTAAACTGTGTACAGACAGCACCCCATATCTTTAGTCTAGACCGCCTCCCTGAATTCCAGATTCATTTACCCAGCTGCCTACTTGCCATCTCCACTTGGATGTCTAAAGGCATCTCAAATTCAATATCCCCAAAACCAAACTTCTGATAATCTCCACCCCCACCCCAAACATGCTCACCCATCGTCAGCTCATCTTTGCTAATGGCAGCTCTCATCATTCCAGTTGTCAGGCCAGAAACCTTGACTCATCCTTGATCCTTCTTTTCATTCCCCATTGTGCTCTGTCAACAAATCTGTTTGCTCTCCCTTCAAAATAAATGCAGAATCCAACTCCTCTCCACCACCTCCACCATCAAGTTATTCATGAGGTCTTCCTGGCCAACCCGATTTTAAATTGCTGCTCCAGCTACCAGCTCACCACTTGCCTATCTTGTTTTCCTCTGTAGCCCTCACCACCATCTAAAGTGCTGTGTGTCTTACTTATCTTGTTTATTAACGATTACTCTCTATAAGGGCCAGGATTTGTCTTTTATAGCTGCAGTGTCTGGAACAATGCCTGGCATGTCGTTAAGGCTACCCTCACGCTTATCTTCCAGAGCTCAGTCTCTGGTAACAGTTCAGAACACGAAAGAGAGTGGGGAAATAAAGAGAAAAGCATGCCCTCTGTCTCAAATATATATGTACTCATGTCTATTTAATTTAAGTATTTCAGGCCTTTGATAAAGCCCAAGGGTCCATTCAACTTTTTTTTTTTTTAAGATTTTTTTTTGATGTGGACCATTTTTTTTTTTTTTTAGTCTTTATTGAATTTGTTACAGTACTGCTTCTGTTTTATCTTTTGGTTTTTTGGCCGTGAGACATGTGGGATATCAGCTCCCAGACCAGGGATCAAACCCGCACCCCCTGCATTGGAAGGCGAAGTCTTAACCACTGGACCACCAGGGAAGTCCCGGTCCATTCAACTTTGGGTTCCCACTGTGCGCCTGGGGCAAGGCTGGCTACTCAGCCTGTCCTTCCTGATGTGATTTCACATGATCTAGATTGGCTCCTGGGCAATAGGATATCTGAAGGGGATGGAGGTGGGAAGGGCACACCAAGGGAACCAGTGACATCACCAGGACAGGGATCTAGCCTAGGGATTCCAGGTTCTGGTTCTAGTATTGCTCTTTGACTTTGGGCAACAGTTTCCCTTCCTTTTTTTTTTTTTTTTTTTTTGCGGTACGCAGGCCTCTCACTGTTGTGACCTCTCCCGTTGCGGAGCACAGGCTCCGGACGCGCAGGCTCAGTGGCCATGGCTCACAGGCCCAGCCGCTCCGCGGCATGTGGGATCTTCCCGGACTGGGGCACGAACCCGCATCCCCTGCATCGGCAGGCGGACTCTCAACCACTGCGCCACCAGGGAAGCCCAGCAGTTTCCCTTTCAGCAAGAGGAAGTGGTTAGATTAGACGCAGCACAGGAGGAGACAGTTACAGGGGGTGGTGGGCATGGTGGTCAGGCAGACCTGTCTGGTTTTCAAAAATGTATGTAAGAGTGGAATATTATTTAGTCTTTAAAAGGAAGGAACTTTTGGGAATTCCCTGGCTGTCCAGTGGTTAGGACTCCGTGCTTCCACTGCAGGGGGCACAGGTTCAATCCCTGGTTTGGGAACTAAGATCCCTCATGCTGTGCGGAGCAGTGAAAACAAAACAAAAACAAACAAAAAGAACAAAAACCAAAAAAGGAAGGAAATTTTGATACAGGCTACAACATGGATGATGCTAGGTGAAACGAGCCAGTCACGAAAGGACAAATACTGTGTGATTCCACTTCAATGAGGTTCCTAGAGCAGACTCAGAGAGACGGAAATTAGAGCTGTGGTGTCCAAGGATTGCAGGGAGGGGGAAGAGGAGTTAATTTTTAATGGGTACAAGTTTCAGTTTGGGAAGATGAAAAAGTTCTGAAGGTGGGTGGTGGTCATGTTAGCACAACAGCGTGAGTATACATAATGCCACTAAGTTGTACACTTAGAAATGGTTAAAATGGTAAATTTCATGTTGTATGTATTTTACCACAATTTAAAAAATATGTATAAATTTCATTTTTCCAGTATCCCTCTGGGTGGAGAGGGCAGTGCCACGCTAGCTGGCCAAGATTCCCTGAATTTCCACCCCTCTCCACACTCCTCCAGGCCATGGTTCCTGCTGGACAGGAAGAACCTTCTGGCTCATCCTGCAGCCCCGGGCAGGAAAGAGCAGCAGGCCAGGATCTAGGGACAGACACTCAAGGTCCCCAAATTTCCATTCAGTCTGGCCTGCATGAGGACCCCTGGCGATAGGGGAACTTGCGTCCTCTGTCCTCATCTTCATTCTGGGGACACAGGGCAATGCGGGTCTGAAGGAGGTTAGGGGTGGGGGTGATGCAGGTTTGATTGCCCCTATGGCTGTGAGCAGTTTTGGAGGACAGGCCCAGGGCCCTTGTAGGAAGGCTTCAGGTCACATCAACTTTGAACACTTTATTGACTCAGTCCCGGAGGGTTACAGGATGGGCTCAGAGCAGGGCCTCTGCGCAGGAATGGCAGCCGAGCCAGCTTTCGGTCAAGGCCTGGGAACGTGCAGGTATCACCTTCAGCTGCTCTTGACCTTGGTCTCTGTAAGGGAGATGACAGCCAGCTCCCTATTTGGCTGACCTGTTGGCGACCTAGAGCCAGAGCCATCAAGCTGGACTCCTTACCCAACCCCTTCAACACCCACCAACCTGGGGGCCTCCTCATTTCTGTCACCTCCCACCATGATCAGTGCTACAATCACGTTCATCACCTCTGTCAACAGGATCCCCCCTGTGAAAGTTACATTGCCGTCTTCACCTTTACCAGCCCCACCATGTATTTTAAAAGGGCTTACTGCAATAACCAAGCTTCCTTTCATCTTTACTATCCATGCCACCATCCACCGCAGCCTTACTGTCTACACCTCATTACCACCATCACCAGCCCACGGTGACCCATCTCTTATTCCCATTATTCCCATCATCACCAACTTCCATATTTACATGATCATCTGAATCACTGCCAGCATCCTCGCCAACACCACCTCCCTTCACATGCCCAGCATGCTGTCACCTCCATTACTCCTCCTGTTTCCATCAGAGGACTCACCAGGGGGTTTGCAGACCCTCACACAGACCTCTGTGGTCTCAAAATTGTTGGCATTGCCCTGACAACCACCATAGGTAAAGGGCTCACACTCAATGGACGTAGAGTTGTAGAAGTATCGGTGCAAAGAGGCTTTGCAAGGGCCCCTCACTGCGGGGAGCTGGCAGAGGGCAGGGGGAGTTTGGAGCAACTCCTGGGAAGCCTCTTGCTGAAGATTGGCTGCAAGGTAAAGGAAGAACAGGATTGTCACTTATGTGTCCTTTTAAAGAACTAATGAGTATTTTTCCCCCAGCATTTATTCTACACCAAGTACCCTCCTAGGTGTTTGCTATACTTGCCATTATTTAACCTAATGGAGAGGATATTACTGTCCCCACTTCACAAATGAAGAAACTGAGGCTCGGAGAGGTTTGGTAATTTCCCCAAAATCATAAGGCCATAATTTCCCCAAAATCATATAGCCTCTCATAACTTGACATCAAGATGTTTGTTGTAGATTTGTTTATAATTGCAAAGAATTATAATTTGGAAAATATGTAAATGTTCACCAACAGGGGATCCATGGGCCATTATGCAGTCACTAAAAAGCATAGTGTTGGGACTTCCTTGGTGGTCCAGTGGTTAAGACTCTGACTTTCACTGCAGGGACACTGGGGAAGTTAAATCCCGCATGCTGCACAGTGTGGCCAAAAAACAAAAGCATAGTGTTGATCTATACGCATCAGCATGGGGAGAGGTCCATAACTTTTGTTGAATAAAAAAAACAAATTACAAAATAGGAGATCTGGTATGATCTGCGGATGTAAAATATATGTATAAACCGGTAGAATGATGACATGAAAGTTGTTCACCAGTATATTTAGGGTAGTTATCTCTGGGTGGTGGAATTTGAAGGGATTTTTATCTTCTAAAAAAAATTTTTGTTTTTGGCTGCACCACGTGGCTTGCGGATCTTACTTCCGTGATCAGGGACGGAACCCGGGCCCATGGCAGTGAAAATGCCAAGTCCTAACCACTGGACTACCAGGGAATTCCCTAAAAATTCTTTTTAGTATCATTTGAATGCCAATGAACAAGTATCATTTTTTATAACTAGGAAAAAGATATTTACATTAAACTTAAATATCCATGAGTAATCAGCAAATAAGGAAACTGGCCTCTTTGACTGAATCACTTGTTATTTTAACTCCTCACTACATCTAGGTCCAGTTATCACACAAAGGAATTTATCAAACCCTCACACACACCCTCCCTCAACCATTAGCCTTGGACACTCAGGACTTTTTATGGGGTGCAACAAACTCCACTTGGATAATTACACTTTCCCTAATAAGGACAGCATCCCTCAAACAAGTAAGCACGTGGGTCAACTCACCTCTACCGAACCATTTTGTGACTCTTCACTGCGTATGACACTGACCATGCTGAATATACTGGGAGAAACTTAACCCAGAATAGGGAAGAGACCATTCTAGGAAGGGAATTCGAGACCTTCTGTTAGGCAGCAGTTCTCAATCTTGGTTAGAATATTAGGATCTCTTGGGGAACTTTAAAAAAATGTCCCAATGCCCAGGCTTCATCCCAGACCAATCAAATCAGAATTTCTGAGTGTGGGACCCAGAGACTCCTCAAGGGACTTCAGTGTGCAGCCGAGTCTGAGAATCTGGCCTCATTTTCAAAGCAGTATGAACATTTATTTTCTTGCTTAAGAATTCTAGGGAGTAGGATTCTGGAGAGCAGGATTGTTGGCGCTATGTAAAACAGGGGACCCACTTTTTAAACTTCATACATTTACATATGGTTTGTCTTTAACACAAACATGTGTATTGCTTTTTAAGAAAAATTAGAATTTGGTGAAGATGTCACATAGACATGGGGGAGGTCTGGTCCCACATTTTCCTGAGACCAGATGGCGACCCCATGGGAGCCCCTTCCCATACCTAGGCCCTGGTTTCCTCCTGAGGGGGAAGTGACCAGGTGGCCTCTTGGATCCAGCATCCTCCCACCCCATAGGCTATGATCTCAGGGACCCTTTTCCCAACCCTTCAGCTCACCTGAGGTCTTTCCTGAGCTGGCCAAGCCCACCAGGCAGAGGGTGAGGCAAAGGGCAAGGAGGCGGCTGAGCTTCATGGTGTGAGTAGCTGCTTGTTCTGGGCTGAGGCTGGGAGGCGGGAACTTATATCTGCAGCTGAGGGAGAAGGGGTCCTCTTCCCCAGGGCTGAGGGAAGTACTCGCTTTCCATTACTTGGAATAGGAAGCACCCTGGGCAAGGGGTGTGGGCTGGAAGAACTGGACTTCTTACCTGGAGGCTGTGCCACTGGCCTTGGATGGGCTCTTCATGGCTATTGAGCAAGTCCCCTACGACGGTGCTTCTGTAGCATCCGGAACGCAGTCCCCAACCTCATGTACTGCAGACTCGAGTCTCTGTGACCTTGGACTGAAAAGGGACCTTTGGGGGCCTCGGTTTCCCTATCTGTAAAACAGGTGGGCTAGACCACATGGTCCCTAAGGGCTCAGCACAGCTATTCTCCATTCTGTTATTATTGGTTCCTATCCAGAGCCTCCCAGCTAGTGTCTCAACATCCCAGGAGAGAGAACATAGCTCTTTGTTCATTGGCTTATTTATTTAATTTTGGGATAATGAGTGTATTGTTTCATAGAAATCATCATATTTATTTTTAAAAGATCAAGCTATACTGAATAGCATAAACAAAAGGCAAAATCACTCCCCACAGATTCTACCATAGTGCTGTGCAGCAGAAATATAACACAGGCCGCAAGAGAATTTTAAATTTTCTAGTAGCAGCATTTTTTTTCCCACACTGCGTAGCCTGTGGGATCTTTGTTGTTGTTGTTATAAGTTTCACTTATTCATTTATTTTTGGCTGCGATGAGTCTTCGTTGCTGTGCATGGGCTTTCTCTAGTTGTGGTGAGCGGGGGCTACTCTTCGTTACAGTGCGCGGGCTTCTCATTGCGATAACTTCTCTTGTTGCGGAGCACGGGCTCTAGGCACCCAGGCTTCAGTAGTTGTCACACACGGGCTCAGTAGTTGTGGCTCGCGGGCTCTAGAGCACAGGCTCAGTAGTTGTGGCGTACGAGCATAGTTGTTCCGCAGCATGTGGGATCCTCCTGGACCAGGGCTCAAACTCATGTCCCCTGCATTGGCAGGCAGATTCTTAACCACTGCGCCACCAGGGAAGTCCCAGCTTGTGGGTTCTTAATTCCCCAACCAGGGATTGAACCCGGGCCCACGGCAGTGAAAGCACTGAGTCTTAACCACTGGACTGCCAAGGAATTAGCAGCTTTTTTTTTAGCAGCAGCATTTTAAAGATTAAAAAGAAAGAAGTAAAACTAGCTTTAATAATAGTTTATTTAACTCAATAGATCCAAAATAGTATAATTTCAACATATAATCAACATGTAATAAAGATTAATATGATATTTTACTTTTCTTCGTACTAAGTCTTTGGAATCTGAGTGTATTTTGCACTTGAGGCGCATCCTATCCTGATTCATACTATTCCTATTTCCTGTGCTCAGTAGCCACGTGTGGCTAGTGGCTACCAGAGTGGACAGTGACATTCCACCACGTGAAATAAGTATCTTTACTTCAAGTTATCCTCATAAACATTTTGTTAGGTAGATAAAAAAATAATTCTAAAAAACAAAGGGTTTACAGGTATTTTTTTCTCTGAATTTTTGCATATTGCCTTTATATTTCAAGGACAATTTGATGGGATAAAAAATCCTGGATGAGACTTTCTTTTCCCAGAACAATTGTGGACCTGGTTCCACCGAATTCTGCCATGGAGTGTCACTATGAAGTGGCCTGAATGTTTTTCTCCCTTAGGGGTGACTTTTTTCCTACCTGAAAGCTTGAAGACCTCTTTGCTTATCCTTGAGATAACGTATTTTGGTATCATTCTGCATCATTTTTTTTTTGTACTGGAACATGGAATGCTTTTTCCAACCTACAGATTTTTGTAAGGGAAATTCCCTTGTATTACATCTTGAAATAAAGTTTCTTTTCCAATTATTGAGTTTTCTATATGAGACATCAGTTATGTTAGATTATCTTCACTTGTGCTTCAGTAGTTGTTAAAAACCTCACCATTGGAGACAGAGGAATTCAAATTCCAGCTTTGCTATTCACTATCTGTGTGACCTCAGGCAAATTACCTTCTATGGATATAGTTTCTACTTGGAGATAACAACGGAAACTGTTGCCGAAAACCTGGCCTCTCTTCACCAGTACAGAATAGAAACCCAGAGACAGAGCTTTGGAGGAGTAGAAAGGAGTAGCTTTATTACTTTGCCAGGCAAAGGGGGCCACAGCAGGCTAACACACTCAAGGCTGTGCCCTGCTTCCTGGGAAGTAGAAAAGGGTCTTACAGTTTCAGGGTGGAAAATAGGGCTGTAGATAAGGATCAGGGCTGATGTAGTTTGCATCCTTCTTTCCTCCTGGAGACATTGAGATCATTAGGGCTGGCGTCACGTGGTTCCAGAATAGGTTCTGGTGGTCCTCGAGATTATCGTTCCGTGACCTTTTCGGAATGAAGAACGCTCACGAGGGAGAGGAGTGTTCGGGAGTGTTGTCATGGAGAAGTAAACATCAGGCGCATGGTGCAACCTTAGCTAGAGGGCAGTCGTTTTCAGAGTGCAATTAAGCAAGAAAGAGAGGGGGAGAAAACATCTGTAGGAGACAGGTGGAATGGGTGGAAAGAATAAGGGCTGAATAAGGTCTAACGTAATGGGGGTGCCTCAACTATTTTCTGCTGCAGCAAGACTATTTGTGTTTGGAGTTCACAAGACCACACTCAGGTTTAATTCATAAAAGGACTCACAGGACACAAAGGTGTTATACTTGAGTTTATATCAAATGGATGCAGAGTAGAATCGCCAAAGGGGGAAAGTGCATGGGGTGAAGCTAGAGGAGCACAGGCACAAGCTTCTGCTTGATTCCCTCAGCCCAGCACATCCGAGGTGTTGCCAACCAGGGGAGCTCACTTCTGTCTGGGAGTCTTGGGTTTTTACTGTGGTCAGGCATGCAGGTGTATACTGCCTGCACAGCTGACCTCAGGGAAGCCCCAGACCCCAAAGGGAAAGCAGGCATTTCCCTTGTCTAAAATGATTAAAGAAGACAGTTCAGGTGACACCAACTAACACTTCATGAAGTGAGCGGTCTCCATCCCCAAGGGTCCAAAGAACTGTAGATCATTTACAAGAACACAGAATTAAGTTTCAACGTGTGGACATGGCACCCCAGACATCTCGGGTCTAGATATTTATTTCAACACAGGCCTGAGATCAGATCCAGACGTTCCTACTGGGAGTTGGGTGTCATGTTGATGATCACAGGAGGAGCCCTGAGTCTTTGAGTATTTACCACCCAGGGGCACAGAGCTGAGCATTCTCTATTCATTAGTCTCAAATGCGTTCACAGCATCCCAAAGAAATGGGGTTGATTTTATAAACAATCCCGTTTTACAGATGAGGGCGCCAAGGCCCAGGAACACTAAGTAATTTGCCAAACCCAGGTCCTCCTACTGTTGTTGGGGAGGAAACCTTTCTTTGCTTCCCTTCTAGGTTCCTTGGCTGGTTTGGTAAGACAAACTGGACATAAGACAGATGAACAGGAGAAAACCAAATTTCATAGGTAGAGCATCCCCAAAGACATGGGACCCAGAGACAGGCAGTTGAGGCTTATATGCCATCCTGAGTGAAGGAGAAGGGGATGGGGATCTAATCAATCATCTCATCCTCGGGGAATGGAAGGAGACTCACGTTTGTTTCTGCAAAAGAAGTCCAGTGACTTGTACTTGTCACAGGCCACAGTGTGTGATCATTGCAATGAATTAAGGTGAAGGCAGAGAATTAGGAAGAGGCGCAGGTTAGTGGGAGAGAACGCGGGGCTTCCTGAGATTCAGCTCTTCCCGACCTTGGCTTCTCTGCTCTACTTCCCAAGGTGCGTGGGAAAGGCAGCTTTTCCTTGCGCCTGCTACCCTTCTCCTCCACCCCGGTGAGTCTCCTCCAGGCTTGCTATCAAATTGTGGACCATCTTATAGGAGGGGAAACTGGGGCTGGGGACACACCTGTGATGGTGAGCCTGTTAGGAATGCAGCTTCTCAGGCGTCACCCAGACCTGGGGAATCAGAATGCGTATTTACTTCCACAAGACCCACAGGCAGAGTCAAGTCTGAGAAGCGCTGTTACTGGGCATTTGGCCTCAGCAGGCAGAGGCAGGAAGCCTGATTACGTGGGAGATGAAGCATGAACAGCACTTACCCCAGCTCCACCCCTTCCTCACTCCCCTCCTCATTACCTGATCCCACCCCTCAGCTGGGATATGAAAAGCTCTGTCAGCCCTCCTGCAAGGCCACGAACATGAGCCGGCTCTGCCTCTCTGACCCGCTTCTCATCCTCCTGGTTACCCTGGTGGCTGGCACCCCGGGCGGTAAACACAAGAGCCGTGCCAGAGGTAAGTCCCGGCTCACCTCTCCTCCACAGGCTGGGGGAGAAATGAGGCTAGTCCATTGTCGACTGAAAAAAAGTGTGCAACCTAAAAGTTGAGAGTTGTTTTACTCGGAGGAAATTTTTAGAACTTCAAGCCCAGGAGGCAGCATCTCAAGTAACCGTGAGAGAACTGCTCTGAGGAGGTGAGCGGGAAGCCAGCATATATAGAAGGAAGTTTTCCAACAAAGGGCAGGTAGTCTGAATGTCAAAAGATTATTGTATATGAAAGAAAACCAGATATCCCAAGTTAAGGAATTTAGCACTTTTCTTTTTAAATTAAAACAATTTTTAAAAATTTTTTTGTTTTTTATGTTTTTTCCCCTGTAATTTATTTCTAATGTCATAGCGTTGCAGTTGGAGAAGATGCTTGATATGATTTCAATTTTCTTAAATTCACCGAGGCTTCATTTGTGACCCAAGATGTGATCTATCCTGGAGAATGTTCTGTGTCCACTTGAGAAGAAAGTGTCATCTGCTGTTTTCGGATGGACTGTCCTATAACTATCAATTAAATCTATCTGGTCTATTGTATCATTTAAAGCATGTGTTTCCTTATGAATTTTCTGTCTGCATGATCTGTCCATTGGTGTAAGTGAGGTGTTAAAGTCCCCCACTATTATTGTGTTACTGTCGATTTCCTCTTTTATAGCTGTTAGCATTTGCCGTATGTATTGAGGTGCTCGTATGTTGGGTGCATATATATTTATAATTGGTATATCTTCTTGGATTGATCCCTTGATCATTATGTAGTGTACTTCCTTGTCTCTTGTAACATTCTTTATTTTAAAGTCTATTTTATGTTCTGAAGAACCTAGGGTCAGGACAGGAATAAAGACGCAGGCATAGAGAATGGACTTGAAGACACAGGGAGGGGGAAGGGTAAGCTGGGACGAAGTGAGAGAGTGGCATGGACATATATACACTACCAAATGTAAA